GTTTCTAAGACTGTACATCTTTAAAGGAGCACAAGCCTCATTCTTCTCAGAGAAGCTGCAGGGGCTTTAGAACTGCTGAGCTTGCCCTTAGCATTTCCATGGAAACCACTACACGCCCAGGGCTCTTCCATCAGCCCTTGTGGACAGTACAGACCAGCTCAAGCCCACCACTGGGGCTCTGAGGGAGCGGGGATTAAATAGACCCAGCTGCCTGCCCTGTCCTGCTGCATAAGGAGCTGTACTAACGCTATGCAGGGTGATGCTTTAAGGGCAGTCTCTCCCCTTCCCTTCTCGGACATCAGCGTTCTTCCTAAATGGGAATCCGAGGCGTCCTGCCTGGGACGGGACAGGACCACCACAGCAGAATTTTAGCTCCCGATGGCTAGTTCCCCACCCGATCTCAGGGTCATCAGTTCTGCCAAGTCCACAGGGTGCTGTCAGCCGACCAGGGTCCGCCCGCAGACTTTTGGACCTCCGCACTCCCCTCCAGCCTCTGTTTGAGGGGTTTCATTTAATTCCCTGGCACCTCCTTTTTCCATTTGATGCAAAGCCAGTAAGACCAATACAGGAAGAGATGGGGAGAAAAACAACAAAAACACGCCACTCCCAAACCAGGTGCTTAATCACCCAAGTCGGCCTGCTCATCCGCCTCCCGCCTCCCAGTTGTGCGTGGCGGTCTTCAGGATTTTTCTAAGTTAGATGCAACACTTGAATCTGATAACATCTTAGAATCTCACGAATAACCCCCCCAAACAAAAATTAGCCCACAGCCATCAAGTGGATTCAGACTCGTCGGGACCTGATAGGCCCCTCCAATCCTTGAACTCTCATCTCAGCACAGCGTGCTTGAGGCGCCACCCATGCCAGCCGGGCACCTCTTTTCCCCAGCTGAAAAGCTGCTGCCTTGGCCCCAAGCCCTAATCACAGGGAGAGCGGTTCGTGCCTGCTGACCATGGAGAAAGCAAGCGGAAAGGAACCTGCTAGAAGCCAGACCTGGGGTTGAGCGCTTCACATTCAATATCGTGTATACTTACCGCCTTTGCCCGCAAAGAAACCACTGTCTCGTGAGATTGAGTGGCTTTCCCCAGGCCAGACAACTGAGCACTGTCTGCGTGAGGATTTGAACCTGCAGGTACAGATGCTGTGGTACAAGAGGGCAGTCACAGAATCAATCGGGTTGTTCCAAAGAAGGGAGGTAGGGACTGAGGGGGCGTACACAGAGGGTGAAGATTCCCCTGGAGTGGGTGCGAGGGGCAGCTCATGACTGGGAGCACCATGTTTGCACGGGTGCCAGGTCTGGCTTCCTTCCATGTCACTGAAGCCCACAGGCAGTGTCTCGTTTGTATTGGGGGCGTGTAGAAATGAGGGAGGCCCGGCGCTTCGTGTTGAGGCTGATGCCGGGAAGAGCTGCGACAGCACTTGCTTAAAATGAAGCCCCGGCGTCAGCAGGGACTGCCGAACCCAAGGGGCTGGAAACCACGGAACTTCAAAGGCTCCGCACCAGAGCGCCGCGGAGTTGGCAGGCCTGCCCGAGAGTCCTCAGCGGACACCCGGACACCCGGACCACAAGCGGGAAGAAGCTGAGTTTCAAGTCTGGCTGCAGGGGGGCCTCGCTGAGGAACTGGAAGTGAGAGGGAAGTTGTGGCCTTGATGCCGATCACAAGTGGAACAGAGGAATCAACCAGGACTGCCCCTCCGATGCATCTGACGGGGGCATTTGGAAATTTCCCATCGCTGGCCTCCAAGACATTTGGCGGGGAGGGGAAATCAGCCAAATTGAGACGAGGCCGGCCTGCGACCGTTTGGTTTGGGTCTTCTCCGTCACAGGCCATCACTGATGATGGGGGAGCGAGCTGCCTGCTTTTGGTGATCCGCAGCCATCTTTCCCAAGGCGGGAGAAGCCACCCCCTGGGGGTGATGGAATGATCCCAGGGCTGTAAAGCAGATACTTACACTTTATCCTGGATGACAGATTTGGTGTACAGAAGTGTTTCATTGTCAGGGGCGCTGAATTTGTTTGGGCCAAATCTGGTTGGGAACCTGTGGTCTAAAGAAAGCCTGGGCTGAGCCACCCTGCACCATGGGGATCTCATCTTCGCCCCCAAGCCATCCGATAACCAAACCCTTTGTAGCTGGCACATCCACACCAGGTAGATCCAGAGCAGGGGCTCAGAAGGGGAACAGGCAGCAAATGTTAGGCGATGTGGGAAAACAGCCACCTGCACCGACAGGAGTCAGATGGTCTGAGTCTGCAGCCCAGCCTTGATGCTGACAAAGGTGAGTAACCCTGGCCCCTGGGGCTCTGGGTCCCCATCTGAGGAATCTAAATCCCTAAGTGCTAATATTCTTCTGTGCCCCATAAATAATGCACCTCGGTGTAGCTTCAGAGTCCCCAAGAAGACAAAAAGGTAGAAGGAGGTTACCAAATGGAGCTGGGGTACCAGCACCAGGCCCGGGACCATGCTGCCTGCCAGCCTGGGAACTGCAAAGGCAGAAGAAAATGCACCAGTTTTAAGGAAGAGTCCCTGTTCTCAGCTGGCAAGGTTTTAGGAGGGAGGCTGCATTCCATAGATTGGGAATGGAGGCAATTCTATTCTAGGAAAGGATTTAAAACTATATATATCGGGGGGAAATATAGATATGGTTCTCCAGGTTAAAATAATAATAATTTAAAGCCATGATCTTTACTAATCTTGAGTCTCAGAGACAAGTCAATAAACAGCACCAAGTTTTCCGTAAGACTGCAGCCTCAAATGGGTGAACACTAACTTCAGGGCCCACGATGGCTGTCCCCAAACAGCAAACAAACCTCACCTCCAGGTGCAGGGAGGGCACTAAGCTGATGTGACTCATTTGGCTAAGGATTCACTCTCCAGGCTGGCTCCGGCTGACCCAGGCATGGTACCCTGGCCCATGCTCTTCTGGAAGGGTTAGCTGGTATTTAAGCAATCCTGGAGCACCCAGCCTAGCTGCTTCCCCCGTTCCTGGAGTTGCTTTCTGTGTTCTCAAGGTAAGAATTCGTCAGGACTTGGAAGGGGGCCAGGATGAGGCATGCTCCTCTCAGTTCTCCAGGGGAAATGGGAATATATGCATCTCAGAATCTTTATACAACAAATAGCTTCAAAGGCCCTCCCTGTAATCAACAGATATTCCTGATTCTTTCACTCAACTCACAGAAGTAATTTCTTCCTCCTTCCCATCAGAATGCCCGATGATCCCAATTTCTTATCTTCATGAAATGGCATGAAACTATCCTAGACCTTTCTTCTTCCCTTTCCTCCTGGCCCCACCCCCCATTATCGTGGAATCCCCACTTAGGGAGACCCATGGCTTCTGGTCCACAGGGAGGCCTGTGAAAGCCAGAACTTGGCGAGTCCGCCTTGTTATTCCAGGTCTCACAAGTTTTGTCCTTCATAGGGTGTGGTCAGACCACTTCTCTACCACTCGCTTTAGTGGACATTTGAGTGGTCCTTCTCTGCCAGGTTTCTGCCTTGCACAAGTTCCGGCTCTTTGCAGGATGTAAGGCATTGCTTATCATATCCTAAATCCCCTCATCCATACTCTAGAAACTCCATAGGCCCTAGTAATTGGACAGATGGCACAAAGACATTTTTCCCAGATGCAAAATCAGGTATATATTGCCATTATTGCGCTACTGGTATTTGAGTTTTGACCAGATTAAAAATGGTACTTCCAGACACGAGGAAACCATTTTTAGACAGTGCCATCTATATTACATAAGGAAGACTTTGCTAGTGGGCATAGGAGGGAGGGTTTGGGGTTATCTCTAACACACCAGAAGCCTGTTTGAATACATAAACAGCCTTATTCCTTTCAGGTCTTAAGTTTCCTTAGGTAGAAGCAAGACTTCCAAGAAGCTGCATTCTTATTTCAGGGGACCCCTCCACTGTTTAAGATGCTTAAGCCAAGAATTCACAGCCTCTTGCTTCCGCAAGCCCCTCAGAGGGGGGATGATGGGAAACATGGAAAACAGGTGTACGAGGTCTTCTGCAGCCACTTTTCATACAGTGTGTCCTCCTCCTTTATTTCTACTTTAGCGCACTCTCAAGAGGTAGTACCAGTTGCTACTGAGTCAATTCCAATTCAAGGTGACTCCTTGTGTCAGAGTAGGGCTCAATAGGGTTTTCAATGACTGATTTTTCAAAGTAGAGCAGCAGGCCTTTCTTTGCAGGCAACTCTGGTTCTTCTTGAACTTCCAACCCAAAGGTACATCGAGCGCATTAGCCATTTGTACCACCCAGTGATTCCCTACCCAGAAAATGGCCAGACGGAGGCAGAGTGAATGTCTGTATAAAGTTAATGGACTAGGTAGGAGAGTCAGCTGCACCAGTACCTGGCGAACGCTGCACTCCGTGACTTTCTTGTAGACCTTGTGGGCAGCTGTGACAAGTGTGTTTTCGCTACCCGGCTAACGTTCACCAGGCCCATGGCCAAACTACAGTATGGGCAGCCCTAGGGAGAGGTGATGAACCAGCTGGCATCATTTAGCCCTTTTCCTAAACAAGGCCAGATTCCAGGTGGCAATGCCAGTCCCTGGAAAACTGGCTCTGTTAGCAACAGAAGCTGGAAGCACGTTCTGGTTGTATTGGGGCTCTGCTAGCATCCTTTTAGATGAAGGCGGCGAGGCTTGGCCTACACTAAATCACAGACGCGAGGGATGCAACTCTCGGACGTCATCTCTTGGTTCAAATGTTTAGGTAGAGAGCATCTGGCCACGTCAAGATCAGACCCAAACTTATCCTGCCTCTCAGCCCTCCTGAAGTGGTAAAGATAAGGTTCATGTCTTCACCTATGTAAAAGAAGAGCATTACCATGTTTCAAAGTACAAGACAGGTTGCTGGTTATAGGTCAGTGACGTGTGCACAATGTTGGACTGCATCTGAACTATGACGGTGTAGCATGGCATCTCCATTAAACGTACCATACATTTCCCAGACATGCACAGCGGGTCCTTGGTGCGGTTGGTCTTAGTCACAGTATTTAAAAAGTCAAATACTATTTGAATGTGTTGTAAAAAAAAATGCCATTATTTGGTTTCTATATATTTCACATTTACAGAAGAATAAATACAAGATGTGACTGTGAGACAGTGTACAAGAACTGACATATCCAAATGACTGTTGTTGCTTTGGGAAGACATGAGTTCAGTCCAGGAAGACATTTCTAGAACCTTCTTGGAAAAATGCCCATTTATAAGCTTCCTTAATGTTAGCAAATCTTTGTCCTTTAAGCATAGGCTCATTTTTTTGAGGGATGAATTGAGAGGGGGGAAGAACAGCCAAAGACTATTAGACAGTAAGCCTGATAGACAAAATGGATGGTGATGTTTGGGACTATGTCTAGTGGTGGGGAGGGAGCAAGTATCAAAGAACAGTGTCTGACTGTAAAGCTGTGGGGCCTCTTCCTGTGCATGGCTTCCAAGATATTGCCAAATAGGAGCCCTAGATGTTCCTGTTACATGCAATATTGCAGGTCAAGAGCATAGTCTCTCAGGAAAAGAACTCCAATGATGGTAACTCTGAAATGCATACAGGCTGGTGGGGGAGCCTTACATATTTATAGTCATACTCTGTATAAACAGGCGTGGAAAATGCCATTTCCATGAGTGGTCCCAAGGGAAGGACCATCATCTCCTGCTTAAGGAGTTAAAACGAAAAGCACTTGGTGTCTGTTCCACATTAGGTTCCCTGCCCCCCTGCAAAAAAAAAAAAAGTGCAATGAGTAATTAATTTCTGATACCTGAGTCTCTCCAGTTTGGAAAACTTGGTAAAGGCAGGTCTATGGAGCCCGGATAAGACTAGGCTGTCAAGCAGAGTGCAGTGTGCTTTCAATGGCTCTACTAACACAAACATACAATATAAATAAACCAATACATACAGCAAACACAACAAAACCTCATACAATAAAACCTCCTACAGCGATGTTGTACACAAAATTTCGGAAGAACAATTATCTTCCAGTAGCTTTCTGTGAGTCCACTGAAAGAGAAGTCTATGGGGTTGGATCCTACTACACGCTCAAGAAATAAAGTGTGGCCACTAGCTCACTGGAGTCCATTTCCAGCAGAGGCCAAAGGCAGCAAAGGTTCAAGAGCCGCTGGGGCTGGCATTCGTTGAAGCAGGGTCTATACACTAGGAGTGGGATCAAAGCAGTTTGTAGAAAGCTCCATTTATAAAGCAGGGCATTTGCCAAGCAGTGCTATGCTAGCTCACTTTCTACAAAGTGCTTCATTGGAAATGTTAACTAGGAAGCTCCTTGAAACACCGTATCCTGAGTGTGGGAGAACTATGGTCAAGATGGAGCAGAGATAGATCTTCTCATAGTGTCTGAGTCATGAATTCGCCAACCTCCCTCGCGCTCTCTCTCACACACACCGATGAGAACATTACTGCAGTCACCACTACCATCCCCGCCCCACCCCCGCCTCTTCTGCTCACACCTCCGTCCTGAACAGTGTTCAGAGTACAGTATTCCCAGGAGGCACTCTGAGGTCATGGGCTCTACTCCACAAAGCCAGAAGCAGCAGCAAGACAGAGTCAGCGCCTGACAGCCAGCGGCAGTTTCCAAGGGCTTGCAGCAGATGTGGGCTCAAATCGATCAGGCAGGATGTTGGGTTTTTTTGGTGCATGTTTTTATCTTGTCTTTGTAAAACAAACAACAAAACCACACAGCTAGACTGTTTGCTTAAATCATCGTTGGAAAGACAGCTGCATGCCCAGATGGGATTTCTAGTTTCGGTGCAAAGGAAATCACGTGCTTCTAGATTTTATTCTCTCAAAACTACCAGGGACGCAGGAGGATTTGGTTCAAATGCTGCCGGAAAAAAGAAATGAGGAATTCACTTCAGTTTTAATTCAGAAGCAATCCTGTGGTTCATGTTGTAGCCAGGCTCAGGCAGTCCGGATGGTGGGACCCCGGTTGTGCTGGCGGAGGGAGCTTGGATCTCCCCCAGTTCGGGCTCACTCTCACTCGAGGTAGACCCATTATTGATAGCGTAGATGCTCCCGGGGACTCCCTGAGCTGCAGCACAGCCGTCTGCCTCCTTCAGCTCCATGGGGCCAGACAGTCCTGGGAGGAGGGCCATCTTCCCAGTCTGCCTGCTTGGCAGCAAGGACAGGGTGTAGTCTGCAATGATCCCACCCACATCTAAGTGGCACGCCTGGTCGAAGGCAAGGAAACCCACGTTGGCGTTGGCCTCGCACACCACGAAGGAGCCATCATCCATGATGAGGAGATCAATACCACAGAAGTCCATGTCCAGGATGTTGGACACTTGAATGGCCAACTGCTTGCCTTGCTCCGTCAGTGGGCACATGACGCCCACGCCACCTGTGGGGGAAAGCACAGGGCTGTGACCGGGACAAATAACACTGACAAGGAGTCAAAGGGCTCTTCCAATAAGAGATGAGAGAATGCAGACAATCAGGCAGTGAGACGGGCATTTGAATGATCGGTAACAAAGTCTGGATCTAGATCCCATGGGAGAGTAACATGGTTACCTCTTGTCAAGGAATTCTAAAAGCCTTTATCTTTTGACCCAGTCATCTTCCCACTACCTAGCAATCTTAAAGAAATTATCTTATGGACAGGAAAACGAAAGGCTTTTACACAAATATGTTGATTGCACTGTTATTTAAAATATCAAAAATATATAGTGCCTGGTAGATCAGATAGTAAGTCTTCAACAAGCATTTGTACAATAAAGAGTTGAAATGTCTGGCAAAACAGGAAAACAGGACACAACCACTAATGATAACGCTCATAGAGAATGTATCCTCTCATGGAGCCAAAATTGAGAAGGACTAAAGACTGTATAATATGACCATGGCTATGACAACAGATAGGTTCAGAAAAAAATTCCGGGGAAAATAATATCAAAAGAATAACTGTGGTAATGAAAAAGAAAACAAAGAAACAAATAAAAAAGACAAAATATTAACTGTGGTTCTTCCTAAGGAGCCCTGGCAGTGTGGTGGTTATACTCTGGGCTGCGGTCCATTGGTCAACAACTCCTGACCACCAGCACTGCCGCAGGACAAAGCTGGGCTCCCTACTCCCGTAATGGCAGTAGTCTCAGAAATCCATAGGGACTAGCTATCCGTCAGCACTGACTCTGGCAGTGAGTTTGCCTTGGTTTGGTGGTTACTTCTAGATGAGATTCATGATAAATATATTTTTTAATTTGGCTTTCCCATAGTTTCCAAATTTTCAGCATTAATTTTTTTTTCCGGAAGAAAGCGATAGAAAAGACTTGTAAGACAAAACTCTGCCCCAAGGAGAGAAAATTTCGGATTGCCTTAACTTGCTAAGAAGATTGAATCGCTTCTCTTTCACCCCGCTGCAAAGAGTTAAGTTTTGAATTCTCAGGAGCAGTGACTAATGTCTTTACCTTCATACTGTCCTTCCCCACCTATGACATTGTGAAAGGAAGAAGTGATAAAACAGTTTCAAAACAGCTTACCAAGATAAACAACATGAATAAATTATTAGTTTCTGCAGTTTCTAGATGAAAAATTGATTTTGTCAAGTGACTGAAAAAGACAAAATAATAATACATAGTGTTCAATACTGCAGCACTATGCATGAATACCTTGAAAATTAAATGAGAGCCATAATGATCATAAGGCGGAAACCCCTGAACTGTCCATCCACAGACAAAAACGGATTAACAACATGTGGTACATCCATACACTGGAATACAGCAGTAAAGAGAAATGGGTTCCCGTGCAAGGCATCACATGGATGAACCTTGCAAAAATCACGCAGACTGACTCAAAAATGAGTCAGTCGCAAAAGGGTAAATACTGCGGGATCTCACTTATATCACATAAACAAGTGTGGTGCTGCTGTTTTTAGTTGCTATCAAGAGTTATTTCCAGCACATTTTTAATGCAGTTTCGGTGGTAAAATTAGGTGCCTCGGCTGATATTCAGGTCGGCTTATACTTGAGTATATATGGTAACCACTGGTGCCACCCAAGGACTGAGAAGCAAATACATATAAACCAAAATTAATATTAGTTACCAGGTGGAAGACCCCAGCACTGAACCAAAAGGTCAGAGGTTTGAACCCAACCTGCCCCCACCAGATGCTGCTTGGGAGAAAGAAGAGGCAGTCTGCTTCCTTCAGGATTTAGAGCCTTGGACACCCCATGGGGCAGCCACGTCAACCCCGTGTGTGTGTGTGTGTGTGGGGGGGTGGGGGTGGGGTGGGGTTTGTTTGTTTGACTGGAGGCGAGATGAAGCCGGCAAAGGGCACTTTTGCTTAGAAGATAGTGCATGTACATGAATGGTATATATTTTCATCATAAGAGTAAAAAAATCTTAAATAAGGTAACATGTCAGTGTGAATAAGATAACTGTGTCGATCTGCATCTCACATTTGCCTCTATCACGCTAAATAGTACAAGAACATTTTACAAGGATTCTAAATGGACTCTCCTTGATCTCTGCTACTACAGTTCCTGGCTGTTGCGATAATTCCTCTGCACGCAGTGCCACGTGGGCAGAATGGAGCTGCTCCCTGGGCTTTCAAGGTTGTGTGACGGTTCACAAGCAGACCAGCCTGCCTTGGAGCCTTCGGGTGGGTTCAAACCCCCAAGCTCTCCCTGAGCTAGTCCCTGAGTCCTCACGGTTTGCACTCTCCACTGCTCTCCACACTCCCAGAATCCACTTCAGGGCCTACTCGGGGCCGCTGCTCGATTTTTTTTTTTTAAATATTCCAACATATCAGTTCAGGTAATGAGGCTGACAATGTCTTTCTGTGATGGGGACAATAATTGAGCCCCATCTGTACACCATATATGAACCCTAGGTGAATGGGATGGAGTTATGCACTAAACTCAAATTGACTGCATCTTTCTAATTATATCTATGGTTAGAATATTATTTCTACACTATAAACTAGCATTTTAATCTCTCAGTGGAAAATGACTCAATGGCATAAAACGATTTAAAATTATAAAATATAAACAAAAAATTTAAGTGAAAATACAAAAGCTGTAGGCCTCTACTCAAGTACTCCCTCAACACAAGAGCACTTTGTTCTAATAAGCCGGCACGCTGAGATGCTTGCCTTCCCGACATGACAGCTGAAGACAAAGCTGATATGCAAATGTGATGAAGAAAGCTGATGGTACCTGGATGTCAAAGCATATAGCGTCTGGGGTCTTAAAGGCTTGAAGATAAGCAAGAGGCCATCTAGCTCAGAAGCAACAAAGCCCACATGGAAGAGGCATGCCAGCCTGTGTGATCACGAGGTGTCGATGGGATTAGGGGTTGGGCATCAGAGACCCAGAGCAAAAAATCATAATGTGAATGAGGTGGGAGGAGTGCGGAGTAGAGGCCCAAAGCCCATCTGTAAGCAACTGGACATTCCCTTACAGAAGGGTTGTGGGGAGAAGATGGGCCAGTCAGGGTGCAGTAGAGCACCAATGAAACATACAGCCTTCCTCTGGTTCTTTAATGCTTCCTCTCCCCCACTTTCATAACCCTAATTCTACCTTATGAATCTGGCTAGACCAGAGCCTGCACATGGGTACAGATAAGAGCTGGAAACACAAGGAATACAGGACAGATAAACTCCTTGGGGCCAATATTGAGAATAGCCATACCAGGAGGGGAAGGGGAAGGTGGGGGGAGAAAGGGGAGCTGATCACAATGAGCTACCTATAACTCCCTCCCAGGGGGATGGACAACAGACAAGGGGGTAAAGAGACATATTAGACAATGCAAGACATGAAAAATAATAATTTATAAATGACCAAGGGTTCATGAGGGAGGGAAGGAAAAAAATGAGGAGCTGATACCAAGGGCTTAACTAGAAAGCAAATGTTTTGAAAACGATGATGGCAGCATATGTACAGCTGTGCTTGCCACATGGATGGATGGATGGATTGTGATAAAAGTTGTACGAGCCCCCAGTAAAATGATTCATAGAAAACAGAAGAAAATGCAAAATCTGAAGACTCCTTCCACACCTTAGCTTGTTGTTGTTAGTTGTCATGAAGCTGGCCTGGCTCACAGGACTCCATGTGCTACAAGATCAGCCCACGCTGACCCACAGGGGTTTCACTGGCTGTCTTTCTGCTTTGTGTTGCTTCAGAAGTAGATCGCCAGGTCTTTCTTCCAAGTCCATCTACTTCCAGAAGCTCCAGGGTTAGATAAGTGTTAAGTAACCGAACTGAAAAGTGTTCGGCATCATAGCAACCTGCACGCCTCAGCGACAGATGAATGGTACCGAGCACCACTTGAGGGGCACTGGCCAGGAAATAAACCCAGGATTTCAGCCTGCCTCCTACCTTAGGCCTTCGATCCATGCTCTACCTACATGCCAGCTTTTCTGAAACACGAGTCTTTGTGCCACAACCTTGCTTAATGAAGCCCAGCTGCTACGTCCTAACAGCTACAGAACAGGGCTCAAACCCTGGTGTCCTGACACCCCTGCCCTGACGTCACAGCACTTAGACCATCTACCTCCTGCTGGACAGTTGCTGTTATTAGATGAGCTTGTTCAATCCACCTCTGAAGGCTTAGCAGCGGATACCTAACAGAGGGTCTGACTAGACAGTAGGGATTGATACCCATTTACTGAATGGGTCCAGACATCTCAGTAAAATACCATGGAGCCTTCCCTGACTACCAGCGGACTCTGAGCTTTGATACTGTACCGAGAGAGCAGTTGCTTTGCATCCGTCCATCCGTGGAGCAGCGGAGCATAGAGCCTATCACTTGGCCCCCTACGACCACCACCCGGATATCTTTTCCATGTGATTCTTTCACATACTTCTGGAACAGGTAGGGCGCATCATGGCGGATCAAATGGCAGATGTCTGAAAGATGATGCTTATCTCTTGCAAGAAAAACAGCTTTCCCTTTAAGAAGAAAGACAACAAATGAGTAAAAGTATATGAGAAGCCTCTAAACCCCAACCGGCCATCCCGACTTCCGGGCCCATAGGACATCCCATTCTTTCCCAACTTGTCTTGCTTTAGCCATGTTTATGTCTCTCGGACTTTAGACGCTGGCTTCTTATCGAATGGCCAGTCAACCTCATATTCTCTTCATTTTCCTCAGGTCTCCATAGGGTTAACCCTCTCCTCCCACCAGCACTGTATTTTCCAGAGGCAATATTCTAGAAACACAGGAGGGGCCAAAATACGACCCTAAGGATCTCAGCAACTCAGCTCCAAACACATTCCATCAGGCCCCAAGGCTGCAGAGTAGGTGGGGTCGAGCTCTAATTGATTTAAACCCTACGCTTGGCACACGGGGCAGCTGTCAAGGTTTATAGAACAGAATTTACTGAACACACTCTAGGAGGATTTCAAGTCTAGAAAGAGAGAGACCCACAGAGGGAGCTACAACATGCCGCAGCTTTAAGAAAGGTCTACGCAAACACACAAAAACACCAAATGGGAGCTCAAGGAAGGGAGCCCTTGACAAACATCCTTCCTCTTTTTACACACAGAGCTCTCTTATTGAGTACACTTATTTAATTGATAAAAGAACGGTCCATACTTCTATTGATGTCTGGGGAAAGTATTCCTTCTTGATTCCAAATTCGTTATTTTCTGCTTGAATCACCTATCCTTTCGTAATTATTTAGCCTCTGCTTTTCTATTTGCACAAGGATCCCCCTAGTGGCCCTGTGGGTTAGATGTTGGGCTGCTAACCTGAGCTACTCCTTGGGAGAAATGTGATCCTGTTCCCTTAAAGATTTACAGCCTCAGAAACCCCCTCTAGAGTCACTACAAGTCAGGATCCACTTGGTGGCCGTGGGTCTGGTTTCTAGCTGGTTTTCCAATTACACACGAGCTGACAGATATGTGCAGGGGACCCGTTAAGTTTGTTCTGCAAATCTGACACGGGCAGATCCCCTCTGAGCATTCTTTTGGCAAGGATGCAGCAATACGATAGGTTTCTTTAGTTTTGTGTGACTTCCTTAAAAGGAGTGGAACCATCCTAATAAGAAAGAGTGGTGAGCACCAGTCCCTGGATGGATGTAAGACTGAAGAATCACATTGCAACCATGTCATACTCAGAGCTCAATCATTCCTGAGATGGTTAGAGCCTAGGTGCTTACCAGGCCTGGAGGAAAGAGGCAAGTGACTTGAAGATGTCCAAGTGATAGTCCAGAGAGGCTGCACCATCAGCGAGTCATCAGTGTCCAGACAGCGCGGGCTGAGGACTGGGAAACCCTGCCAAGTAGGCAAGTGCCAAGGCTCGATCCATGACTACAGGAGCAGGACTCTGGACATCGGCATCAGGATCTCTGAAAACAGACGGCTGGGATTCCGAAATAGGCAATAGGGATCCTCTACGTCTTAAGTAGGAGTTTCAGCAGAGATGAGAGACAGAGATAGGGACTTGGTTCCTTGCTTCCTGACAAAGATGCTGTATTAACTATGGGGTGCAGTCCGTGGTTAATAAAGGAACTACCTTTTTAAGGCAAGGGTAGTGAAAACCAGGAAAGGGCATATTATGTGTCAAACACTTTGGCTTTTTAATAATTTTATGGTTACTTCACACTAGTCAAGTGAAACAGGGATTTAGCCCTATTTTATAGATGAAGGAAATAAGGGTCCATGGAATTAGCAATAGCTTGTTCCATCTGCTGCCTTTTTCAGATTTATCCCTACATACCAGACACAACGTTTAATTTAACAGCATATCTGAAAGAACAAAGTCAAGCCTCGAGATGCAATATTGAAAGATTCTATGGGCAGAATATTGAATGATGAAGCAACAAAAGAAGATGGGAGAATGTAAGAGTCACTGTACCCAAAAGAACCAGTCGACATCCCACCATTTCAGGAGGTAGCATCTGAGCAAGAACCAATCGTGCTGAAGGAAGAGCTCCAAACTGCACTGAAAGCCTCAGCCACCAACAGGGGTCCAGTACTTGGTGGGATATCAAATGAAATGTCCCAACAAGCTGAGGGAGCACGTACTCATCTATGCCAGGAAATATGGAAGACAGCTACTTGACCAACTGACTGGAAGAGATCCATTTTTGTACTCAAAGAAAGGTGACCCAACAGAATGCCCAAACTATAGAACAATAGCACTGATACCACATGTGTGAAACATTTTGCTGAAGATCATCCAACAAAGGTTGCAGCAGTACATTGATAGGGAGCTGCCAGAGGTTCAGGCCAAATTAAGAAGAGGATGTGGAACAAGGGATATCATTGCTGATGTCAGGTGGATTTTTGGATCAAGGCAGAGTATACCAAAAAGATGTTTACTTGTGTTTCATTGACGATGCCAAGGTATTCAACTGTGTAGATCATAACAAACTGTAATAGCCTTGAGAAGAATGGGAATCCCAGAACACTTCAATGTGTTTATGTGGATGTTGTCCATGGATCAAGAGGCAGTTGTATGAACAGAACAAGGGAACACTGCATGTTTTAAAATCAGGAATGGTGTGTGTCAGAGTTGTAGCCTCTCAGCATACTTACTCAATCAGTATGTTGAGCAAATCATCAGAAAAGCTGGATTCTGTGAAGAAGAATGTGGCAGTAGGATTGGAGGCAGGCTTATTAACAACTTGCAATATGCAGATGACACAACTTTGCTTGCTGAAAGTGGGGAGGCACTGAAGCGCTTGCTGTTGAAGATAGGATGTTAGTCTTCGATATCGATCATGACTCAACGTGAAGAAGACCAAAACCCTCACAGCTGGATGAACAGGTCACATCATGATAAATGGAGAAAGGTTGAAGCTGTCGAGGATTTTGTCTTGGTTGGATCCACAATCAGTGCTCATGGAAACAGCGGTCGAGATATAAAAAGATGTATTGCATTAGGTAAATCTACTGCACAAGACTTCTCTAGAGATTGAAAAGCAAGGACGTTACTTTCAGGACTAGGTGTGGCTGACGCAGCCATGGTATTTTCAATTGAATCATATGCATGTGAAAGTTGAACGTGGAATAAGGACGACCGGAGAAGAATCTATGCACTTGAGTTGTGGTGCTGGAGAAGACTATTGAATGTACCAAGGAACACTGATTCATGATGATGACTCTTGAAAACATTATGCTGAAGGAGAGAAGCCAGGTATAAAAGCCTATATATATATAAAAGCCTATATACTTGCAATTCCATTTATATGAAATACCCAAAATATATAAACCAATAGCTGGGGCAGGAGGGGCGAAATGGGATCCACCGCTAGTGGGGCCAGGATGGTTTGTTTTTCTGAGTGAGTATTCTGGAATGACCCAGAGGTGGCAGTTCCACCACAAAACCTGCTAAAAACCGCTGAAGTGTGCACTTAAAAATGGTAGGTGAATTATATCGTGATTTAAAAAAACTTTAAATAGATAGTATGTATCCTTTTGAATTTCTGTTGATGATCTGTCTTCCTTTTCCAGAATGTAAACTCCTCAGGGACAGGACTTTTTGTTTTGTTCCCTTCTGGATCCCCAGAGCTTAGAATAGCACCTGGCATCACAGGTCCTCGGGAAATCTTGAGTGGCTGACTTAACGTCAGCGCTGCAGCCTCTCCAAATCCTTCAAGGAAACCCGCCTCACCGCCCAGACTCATTTCCTTCCTCTTCAGTGGGACTCCTCAACTCCAAATTAAATCTGCTTCTGTATGCTTTCTCACGAATGCCCACCATCTCAAATTCCACACTCCAGCTTCAGTTCCTTTTCCTTCCACCAGAGCCTTCGGGGCCTTGTGGCAGAGGTGGCCTCCGGCTCCATTAGATTCAGGCAGGTCTGGTGGCGTGCTTGTGATGGTGCACATCACACTGCTGTACGTACACTGATCTCTGCACATTTGAACTCCTGGAAAGTAGTGAATGTGCCTGGTGGTTTCTATTTCACAGTCTCTAAAATTACAGCAATCACAACTTACACGTTTCTTAGTGACTTCTCCCCACTCAGGATGTCCTGGGCAGGTTAGCATGCTTATGTGCTCCAGCAGAACTCTGTTCTGCTATATACATCCTACCCAACAATTTCTTTGTTCCCATTCCATACTGAGCACTGGATTAGGCCGTGCAGAGATGGAGATACAAAGGACTTGGTTTCAACCCTGGGCCAGCTCAAATTTTGCTACATAAAGCTGTACGCGTATTAGTTGCTAAGTAGCTATGGAAACAAAGGAGACAACAATTAATTTGTCTGGAAGAGAGGGAGGCAATCCATTGAGCTTGCCATAAAGGATAATAAGCAGGTGGGCGGAAGAAGACGGAAGCAAAGGAAAAGGGCAAACATTCAAAGAGAGGAAAAGACATAGTGTGTTGGGTGGTCAAGAAGTGGATTCCGGTATTCCAGAATGATTGTGTTATGGAAGGCTCATTTAGGGACTGAGGACAGACAAGCCTTCAAAGGAAGGTGGAACTGTAAGTGTAGGGTCTTCAGGGCCATGATGAGGGTAGGGACTTTGTTTAATCAGCAACACCGGCTCCTGGGAGGGTTTTGAGCAAGGGAGAGACAAAATTAATATGCTTCTGAGAAATGGTTCTAAAAAAGAAGAGAGGATGCTCTAGGAGTAGAAGGAGCCCTAGTGGCATAGTGGTTATGTGTTGGGCTGTGGTCCACAAGGTCAGTAGTTCAAAACCACCAGCCACTCCTCAGGAGAATGATATCACTTTCTATTCCCCTAAAGAGTGACAGTCTCAGGAACTCCCAGGGGCAGCTCTACTCTGCCCCACAGGGTCTCTGTGAGTCGGCATCAACTCGATGGCCCTGAGTTAGGTTCTTTGGTTCTAGAAGTGGACTTTGGCAAACCTGAGTCAAGCCAGGAATTGGGTGCAATTGGGTGCAATTGTCCAGGAGAAATGACACTGGGAGCTCTTCGTGGATGACTTCCATCCCTCCCAGCAGCACCGCTGCCGATCTCGTGAGCCTTGCCCAGAGGGGCTGCAAAAGGCCCGGGAGCAGCACTCACCCTGGTGCCCTCGAGTGCTCTTCACCACCACTGGGTAGCCCAGGGGCTCGGCTTCGTCAATCATTTTTGAAAAGTCTTCATGCCCACCTGCCAAGAGAAGGTGAAGGTCAGTGATGGTGAGGTTGATGGTCAGCTGAGCACTCCTGTGGAAATTCTTGCGACGCTGAGTGTCTCTCTGACGAAAGCCATTTAAAACCAATACCCATGTACCATGTACCTCTAATGGAAAAGGTTGGGCTCGAGAGAGAAAAGGAACCACCATTTATCAGGTATCTCCTACATGGTGAAGGCGTCACATGTTCAAGTCCTCCTCATAACCTTCCACTAAGTAGGTACTCCGCACACACCCCCACCCCCCAGCCCCTTTAAAGATCATGGTGATTAGAATTCTATGCTCCAAGATTCCTAGCCCCTGGTGCCCATCACGTCTACCAAGGTGGAGTCACCGTAGGAGAGAACAGAACTGCCCCTAGGGTTTCCGTGTCTGCAATCTTTCCAGAAGCAGATTTCGACATCTTTCTCCTTCAGAGCAGCTGGTGGATCTGAAGCATCAATCTTTCAATGAACAGCTGAGCACTGAATTACTGCACCACAGGGGTCCCCTGGTGTATATGCTTTATAGCCCCTCCCTTGAGCGCGGGAAGAACCCGTGACTAAGGTGGGATAGCATTCCCATGATTAGAATGTAACGTAAAATGAATATTAATCAGCTGACTTGGAGTTTATCAAAAGAGAGGTTATCCTGGGTGAGCCTGATCTAACCAGGTCAACTTTTTACAAGGTGATGCAGCAAAGAGACTGGTCTGGAAGGAGCAAACCGCCATGGTGGAGAGTGAGCATGTGTTGGGAATGATGCGTTGTCTCTCCAAACTCAGAAGGATTCCAACTCATGGTGACCCTAGAGGGCAGAGTAGAACCGGCCCTGTGGGTGTCTGAGACTGTAACTCTTTACAGGAGTAGAAAGCCTCATCTTTCTCCTGAGGAGTGGTTAGTAGCTTTGAACTACTCACCTTGTGGTCCACAGCCTAATGTATACACACTTTGCTGCCCAGGGTGGCTCCAGGAGCTAAAAATGAACTATCTGTATATGTATATATATATGTAGATATAGATGTAGTTATAGATATAAATGATATAGATATATTTAAAGTCTTCATGCCCATCTACCAAAAAACAGTGAATGATGGCAGGTTGATGGTCAGGGAGTAGTCAGCTGACCGCCAAAAGGAAAGTAGGGATCTCAGTCCCCGAGCCATGAGGATGGAATTCTGCCAACAGCGAGCTGGAAAGATGACTGAGCAAGTTTGGCTGGGACTGCAGTCCCAGCCTGGTGAGACCTGAGCTGCGAACTCATGGCTAGACCTCTGACCGGCCGCAATTGTGCTGCAGTAGAAGGGTGTCTGTTCCACATTGCCAAGTCTGGGGTGACTTGGCAGGAAATTAACATCAAAAGAAACCAAACCTGGAGATTTGTCTCATTGAAAGTGAAGGTAGGACCCTGAAGCCAAAGTTTTAAATGGTCCCAGTATATCCCTTTAAGCCTTCATTTAAAAACTATGAGGGGGCTTCAAAAAATTTGAGGAAAAAACCCATTATCTTTCTATTGTCTTTTGCCATGAACTTATTGAAGGCCCTTTGTATAAACAAGGTGTATGAAAATCTTTCTAAATCATTTTATAGACTTCCTTGGCTTCCTAAGCATAAAATGTTGAATCTAATCTTTTCTTGATATTTTAGGGTCAGGGGCAGGGACCCTGATGAGTACCGCAATGCCCTCAGACCTACTGCGCGGCATCAAAGCAGCGTGCTTTTTGGCTCATGAACCTGGCTTGGATGGTTTCCCATCTTCCTTGCTGTCAGTACGTCAACAAGTTGTCAGGACGGAGGGCAGGAGCCTGCCTTCCTGCTTCTCCCTGTTCTGGTCTGACGGACAGAACTCGCTTGTGAAATGATTCCAAATGAGAGTCAGAGGACTTGCGTGATTGAGGTTGGATGCGCCTTGAGGTTTTGACACATTCTTTGACTTACTTTCGGTCTCCTTGCTAGTTCTCAAATATATCCTGGGTGAGTTTTGTACACAGTGGGATGAACCAGTGTTCTATTGCTGTTCTCAGGAATTTCCACCAATTTGGTGTCTTATCCTACAGTTCTGTGGGTGAAACACAGAACTCCCTAGGCTAAAATCCAGGTCTCAGCATGTCTGCATTCCTTTTGGAAGACTGTTTCCTTGCCTCTTCCAGCTTCTAGAGCAGGGGTCCTCAAACTTTTTAAACAGTTCACTGTCTTTCAGACCCATTGGAGGGCCGGATTACAGTTAAAAAAAAAAAACTATGAACAAATTCCTATGCACACTGCACATATCTTATTTTGAATTAAAAAAACAAACGGGGCAAAAACGACTGGCGGGCCGGATAAATGTCCTCGGCGGTCCTCCTGTGGCCCGCGGGGCCCGTAGTTTGAGGACCCCTGTTGTAGAGGGTCCCTGCAGTCCTTGGCTCATAGCCCCTTCCCTCTACCCACAACATCAGCAATGCAAGTCGACCCTGGTCACCCTCACCACTCTGACCTTTGCTAATCACGTCTCACTCTGACTCTCTTCTGCCTGTCTCCCACTTTTAAGGACTTTTGCGGCCACACAGATAATTCAGAATAAGCTTTCTATTTTTAAGCTCTGATCAGATTACCTCCTTGCTTACAGCCCTCAAGAACTTCCTATTACTCCCAGGACTAATTAACCTCCTTTAAATGATATAGAAGGGTCCTCCTTGTCTTTCCAGCCTTATATCCTAACTCTCTCCCCTCACATTTTATAAGCTGCTTGGATTACCATGCTTTTCTGCCTCTCAAAAACCAAACCAAAAATGTGCTGTAATTGAGTTGATTCCTATTCATAGTGATCCTATAGGGTAGAGTAGAATTGCCCCTGTAGAACATAGGCTGCTTATAGGATATAGTAGAACTGACTCTATGAGTTTCCAAAGGTATAAATCTCTAAGAGAGCAGAAAGCCTCTTTCTTCTCCCAAAGAGTGGCGGGTGGTTTTGAACTGCTGTTCTTTCAGATATCAGCCCAACACATACTCCACTATGGTACCAGGGCTCCTCTTGCTTTTAAGACCTTGTATGTGTTGCTTTCTGCTTAGACTACCCTTAGGTATCTGGGTAGTTTCCGTTAGTCTGGGTGGTACCTCTTTTTGGAAGATTCCCTCCATTGACTATTTTCTAAACTGTCTGGTACCCTGACCACCATGCACTAACTCTTCCCATGGCATGTACTACTGCACTGAAATGGCCTGGCTGTTTGCTGTGTTCCGCATCTTCTGAACGGGGACTACCTTGAGTGCAGGGTTTCCTTATTATACTAGTGAGATATCCAGAGGCTAGTATGGTGATTAGTACGCAGTGTCTGCCTGATAAATAGTTATTGATTGAAAGAAACAGGAGTGGGAACAGCGATACCAGAAGGGTAGGGAGAAGGTGGGGAGAGGAGGGGAGGAAGGAGGAACTGATCACAAAGATCGACACATAACCACCACCACCACCACCACCCCTTCCAGGGGGATGAACAACAGAAACCATGGGGGAGGGAGAAAATAATAATAATTCATAATTTATCAAGGGGTCATGGGGGGGGGAGGGAGGGAAAAATGAAGAGCTGATACCAAGGGCTAAGTAGAAAGTAAATGTCAAGAAAAGAATGATGGCAACATATGTACAAATATGCTTGAAACAATTGAAACATGAAGTATTATATGAGCTATAAGAGTCCCCAATAAAATGATTTTAAAATATTAAAAGAAAGAAAGAACGAAAGCATTTCAGACAGAGATAATGGCCATGGGGTAGACTCAAGATGCTGACTCATCTAAGACGAACAGAGTTTTATTGAAAAAGAATGAGATGCTAAATGGTTTCTGGCATGAGAAAACGGAGATGCAGGAGACTGGGAACAGTAACGTATAACCTTATTCTAAGGAGACTTACCATAGGAGAATGTGTCTGGCATGGGGACCCCATGTCCAGCCAGCTCTTGGAATGTCCAGAATTTGTTGATGCAGTTTAAAATACTCTGTGGGCGGTTGACTAAGCGGCAGCCCAGCTTCTCCAGGTGTCTCAAGACGGTGATGTCACTGTCTGATTGCACCGAGGGTGTGGACACCCGTACCAGCACCACATCTGGGAAAGTGGTGAGGGCCTTCTGGTTCAGCTGCAGTCCTACAACCGAAGGACAGATGTGAGATCGGGGCTTGCCCTTTCCTCAAGACCAAGCCCAGAGGGAAAATGGCTTTGAGAACGGCCCCCTGGGCATCCTGTTCTCACAAGAATACTGTCAACCCTGCACACCAAACAAATGTGCTGCGCATGATCCTGAGGAAACATAAAGGATTGAATAGGTGGGGGTGGGGTGGGGGTGGGGGCAGTAGCATATCAAGACTAACCCACACTAGAAGAATCCATAGGAGATAAAACAGGCTAGCACCTTCCTTCTGTGTAGTACTAGCATAGACCTCAAAGTGTAGGTCAGGAGGCTAAAGATTGAACTAAAAGGGTATGGTATAGATCACTGAAGAATCCGTTAGACCCTTTTATGTCATAATCTCAGAAAGCTTATCTAATTGGAATTAAATAACCATGTATAAGGTTGTTGTACCCACTTTATAATAAATGCAAAAATATATCCAGTGAAAACAGGGATCCAAAATGATAAATTATGCATTAGGATCTCAGTGATCCAAATAGAAATGGATTAGAAAAGGCTAGAAGGAATCTATGAACATTTTAACTGTGGATAAAGGATTATAGGTACTTCCTTTTCTATATTTTCAACTTGTCTGTATTTAAAAACATATTCACTTTACAATAATAATAAAATTAAAATTCATATAACAAAAACAAATTCATTAATCAGTAAAATTAGAATGCATACAAAGACAAGTGACCATGGGGTGAAAGAACTTGAGTCTGTGTTATACTTGGTGACCCAGGAGTAGAAGCTTGAAATAACACTCAGAGGACCAGGAGTATAGCCTCCAAATATCTGATGGGCTTCCTAGCAGAACTATCTGATTTGTCCTCTCCGAGAGACAGAGCGATCTGTACGAGCAAGATTTTGCCTGTCTTACTTACTGCTCTATCCCCAGCACCTACAACAGAGTCTGGTGTGAGAGAAGCCCTTGTTATTTTTTAATGGAATCCACGGGGAGATAGATGTGGATTCAGCAAAAGGGAAACTTTTCCACTGCCTTAGGATCAAATAGTCAAGGCTCATTAATCACTGGAGAATTGTTCAGAAGCATTCATGGCTCAAGTGGGTTCACAGCAACCTACTTGGCCCTTTTCAACCATGACATTGGATAATTCATATTACTTTAGGCATCTATGATGCCCTCAGCATTTGGAGATGGACTGACAGAAACAGAGAATTGGGTGAGGAAGGCAATGAGAAGAGAATTCAGGGAGTTACTTGGTCTGTGCTACCTAACTTGTAGTTGTTAGTTGCCATCAAGTCAATTCCAACCCATGGCAATTTCAAGGCTGTAATTTTTTTTTATTGTAACTAGATCAACAGGTTTGTTTTCAGAAGTGTATCTCGGTGGATTCAAACTACCAACCTTTTGGCTAGTAGTTGGGCATTTAACCATTTGCATTGAGTGAATTTACATCCAAGGAATCTCTAAATGCTCTAAAGAAACCTTTTAAATCCCAATTAACAGAACCACCTTTTTTCAGTCCTTAATCTAAATCATCTCCTGTTTCATAACTGATATACCATATAATCACTGAATTCCAAGAAACAAAACAAAATACTAATGAAGTTACAATCTCCCCACTGGGGAAAGATACTATCAGTAGAAAAGTGCTGAAAGCAAGCAAGCAAAACAAACCATAAAAACAAACACATGCTCTCCTGATTCTAAGAGATGCTTCGCTGATTTAAAAAAAGGAAGGTGGGGCAGAGGGGCAGATGTGACTATTCGGATGCTGACGGGGTGAGCCTAAGGAACAGGTACACCATTCTTACCTTCACGTTGCCTTCAGAAAACAGTGTCATTTGTATATGCTTTTATTGTCTTTGAAAAGTGCCTTTAGTACTGA